TTTCACAACAGCATCTTGTGTTTACAAATGGAATAACTCAAGCCAAAGTGCATTTCCCCAGGTCAAATTAAAAATGACCTGACAGAGTAGAGGCAATGGCGAAGAAGGGAACTGGGTTGCAGGGGGACCCATGAACTCAGAATAAGGCTTATTACAAGATGCCGAATCTACAGAGCATAGGAGTGAGAACAAACATGTTGAAAATTAAATATGAAAGGGGTAATTACATAGTAATGAGACCGAGGACATTACAAAGGACGCTGCCATTGAAACCACCACATCTCAACAGAGTAATGAGCGGGAAAAACCCTCCAGCTTCGTAATTATCATCATAGTTGCCATAACAACTTAGTATCTCTCTCTGTGAGCATCTATCTCAAGACTATATTTTTAGCAATGACTGTGCCTGAGCATGTATTTTTCTTTATATAGCAGCTAATTTTTCAAATTACTGATCTTAAAAAAAAAAAACAACCCACAATTCCATTTTCATTTCTGAGTGTAAAAGTCTCAGGGATAATTAGGGAAATGAGCAGGTGTGAGAGTCCGTTATGAAAAACACGATAAAAGTATTGATGCCTTGACAACATTTGTTTCAACAGAATGTTCTACGGACCTGCACACTCTATTGTTCCTTGTCAAGCAGCTTAACATAAATCTTCTCTGTGCGGCTCATAAATATTTGAAAAATTATTAACTCTGCAAGGCGTTTGAGGATTATTTGACAAGTACAGATGTATGTTGTGTAACAGAAGTTGGCTTCGCGGAATCCTGAGTCCTGGAAATGAATGAATGAGTGAATGAGTGAATAAACATTGGCTTACCTTGCTGAACAGAAATGCCCATAACAGATTCCCAACCGAAGCAAACCATGGGTTGACTTTAAAGGATGCCATTTTAAAAACTCAGACACCAGGAGGGATTCTGAGCTGCCATTTTGGCTTCCACACGTGCCCCCAGCTGCTCTGCCCAGTTGGAGGGTTTGGTTTTGTAGCATGGCAAGTGTCCAAGAAAAGCCAACACTTTACCAGGCTCCACTTAGACTTTTGGGAGATGCTAACGGCCCTTTGTTAGAATCCCAGACTCAAGCTAAATAAACAAATTATTAGGTTGAGAACAAGATCTCAGAAAGAAGCACTCTTTGGTGACGCTACCAAAAACCCTTAGCCAACGTTGGGCATGCAACAAGAATTTACTGAGAAGTTTCTGTCTTTCTTGTTTCTATTGTTTCTGTGGAGGTTGTAAAATTAGCACATGATAATAATCACTAGTTTATAAAGAGCTTATGCACACCGTGCGAGGGGAAAGAGTATGCTTTATTGTTTTGGGCCACTGGTGAGCCGGGAGAGCTAAGTTTGGGTGAGTATGTGAACCGGAGTCCTATGCGGAGGGATTCGGTGGGGTTAGTAAACACTCTGTGCACTTCGATAGGAGAGCAACATTATAAACGGGCGTTTTAGGGAGAAAGTTCGGTGGCTTCTCCGGGGTGGACAGCAAGTCATGGAGGCCAGAAGCAAGGAGCCCTGCTGAGCAAATGTTCCAACAATCTGGCTGGGCTCTGAACAATGGGAACGTTGTTACCATTGCCAGAGGGAACCGAGGAAGAGGTGAGTTAAAGGCTCTGTGCCTAGGAAGCTGCTAGAACTTCCTGATGCGTCAGAAGTGGCAGAAGGTAATGCACAACTGGGACAAAGCCTTCATCTGGAGGGGCTGAAGAATGAGAACAGCCTCCCTGGCAGATGGCTGGGCTGAGAAGGAGGATGAGGCTTGGAGATGAAGAGAACGAGGACGCTTGGCCATCCCATCTTTCCATCCTTCATGAGCTCTGGCCGTGCCCAGCAAATTTGCAGGCGAGCCGTCCCAGAAAGAGGGAATCGGAGGCGTACAAAGGCAGCTCTGGGAACCGCGCAGTAGGTTGCTATGTGCTGGGAGCATTGGCATCGACGCGATCAATTCTTGCTCTGTTTGTTCTGCTCGCTTTAATGATGTGTCTCTCTGTGGAAAACAAACAAGCCATGCTAGGGAGAACAGTGATTAGTGGGATTTGTTTCCTGATTCTAGGGATGTGTTGAGAATCACGTTGGAGTGGGGGCATTCTCTGAATGTACAAGACACTGCACTGTAGGTGTGTGTTAATTTATTTCCCTGAGAGGTGCCAGGAAAGCGAAATGTTTTTAGAACTTGTGGGTTTGGGGTTACCAAGATGCGGCCTGCCTTAGTGTAATTATTGGGGAAAGGTGAGTCTTGACTGTAGTTAGCTTGCCATGTGCCCTTGGGGAGTCTGGGCCTCAGGTTCCTCCTCTGTAAAATGGGTGAGAAGAGGTCAGTCTCAAGTTTTAACTGTATCAGAATTATTTCAGGAGCTTCTTAGACGTGCCAGCGCTCAATCCCAAAATATTCTGGGAAGTCTGGGGTGGGGCCTGCGCATCTGCATGTTTAGCAAGCTCAGGGGGCTCTGATGGAGGTGGTGCAGGGTGCAACCCTGTCTGGATGGTCTCTAGGCCCCTTCTGGCCAGGATTCTAGGTGGTTCTCTTTCCTGTGCTTCGTACAGCTTGCTGCTGTTTGGCCACGAAGCCCTGCTTTGTTGTCCAGAGGGCTTGGCTTCAGACAAAAGAGCCCCACGTGAGTGAGCCCTGGGGATATAGCATGGTCAAGGCGGGGTGGGGGTGGGGGCAAGGATCCACCCAGACCAGGCCCACTTGGAGAGTGGTGGGAGGGGAAGGGGGCCCTTCTCCGTCACTCTGAAGACTTCTGCGGGCTCTGGATTCCAGAATTTTCGGCAGGTGTGGGGGCTGTTGATAGTCAGGTCCAAGACTTCCTGGCCCTTGGAGACAGGGCGGGGCCCGGCCTCATCCTGTAGCCTCCTGCTCTCACTCTGGCCATCCTCTCTGGTCTGTGACCTGGGATCCCGTGAGACCTGCCCTAAACGACCTGGTTAGGTGGCCTGCCTGTGTGAGGACAGTGAGAGGAAACGAGGTGGCATATGGAGAGGCCAGTGGCTGCTGTCCTGGCCCAAGCCCTGCCCACTGTGTGGGCTCAGAAATGAGACCCCAGGGGAATGGGGAGGCCTTGCTTGGATGGCCAGATGCAACTCAGTGGCATCCTGGAATGTCAGGTCCAAAGGCGCTGGGAAGGATAGCCCAGCTTAGGGTTGAGGGTCGGTCTGGCCCTGTGGTAGGCGGAATGGCCCCCGAAGTCCCCTCTAGCTGAGTCCCAGGGACTGTGAATCGGTTACATGGTAAAATGGACCGAACAGGTGTGATGGAGAGTACTACTTTAAGAGGGGAGATTCTTCTGGATTAGCTGGGTGGGCCATCTAGTCACAGGAGCACTTCCTCCAGCCCGAGGCACATTAGATGCCCAGAAGGGGAAGTCAGAGGGCTCTGAAGCCCCGGGGGGAGGGATTCCACGTGTCAGTGCTGGCTCTGAGGTGCAGGGCCCACATGCAAGGACCAGAGAGAAGCTCCCAGAACGCCTCATGGGAAGCATGAGAAGGAACGCAGGCAGTCAGGGGGAGGGAAGGCTGGCGGTGCTGACAGCCAGCAGGCACCCTGGGACCTGGGTGTTACCACCCGGAGGAACGGAGCTCACCCAGCACCCGGTGTGAACCTGAAAGCAGGGTGTCCCCCAGACGCTCCACGGGACAGTGTCGCCTGCTGATTTTAGCCTGGTGACAGGGCTCACACTTCTAACCTGAAGCGCTGTTAAAGATAATAGATGCGGGTTGTTTTAAACCACTAAACTGGTGGTACTGGTACTTTGTTACAGCAGCAGTGGGAAACCAGGGCAGACTTCTTTGCACTCAACATCCCAGCCGGAAGGACCCACGCGACGTTGTCGAAGGACGGAAGGTACTTTCTCCTAAGTTAGTGAGCTCCCTGCCTGCCCCCTTAGAAGGCGCTCCAGGCAGGAGCCTGCTCTTTGGAGGAACCAATGTCCGCTGGAACCTTCAGGATGGCAGGCCCCAGGATAACTAACTCTCTCTCTCTCTCTCTCT